TTCTACCAAGAAAGAAATATATTGCTGATGATCTGACCCCTTTTATTCAAAGGTTAATTCTTGCTAACAAACGGTTAGTGAAAAATGCAATTGCTACCAATAACAAAACGATGACTTAAAAAAGCAAACTTGACATTCAAAACTATCAATTTGATCTGTCTCAACAAATTCATTGCAATGATAAAGAATTACGAAATTTTGTTTTATTCCTATTAGAAAATTTTCTCTAGCCGTTGATTATTTCTAACTAGTCTTTGAACAGCCAGGGCCTGATGTCATTGTGTGCTTTCGAAAACATCATATGTCATGTAGACAATCTTATAATCATTTGTCTGCTTGTTAGCGTTTGGGTGAGTCTCTGATGGTTTGTTTGTTTGTCTGATTGTTTGTTTGTTTCCCGTACATGAGTCAGGAATCTGACGTGCTTTTCATTCCTAGTTTTTCTGGTACTTTAACGCAATATTTGCACCGTATAACGTCAAAGGGAGGCAACTCAGTTGAATTAACAATTTGGAAATAAAACTAGGTGAGAAAGATTTATGATACTTTGATAACGTCATGTACGAGTAAAACATATATTACCGGTATATGTTCGAGTTCAGATTATCACAGGCTCGGGCTAACTTTCTGTTGAGTGAACATCACACTCTTGGCTTTGCCTCAAGTAAGATTACAGAATGCCAGCCCTCAACTAAGAAAATTCTATCTCAATTCATTACAGTAAAAGTTGTTGCTTTCAATGGATTATTTCCCGCTCCGTAAGAGGATGGAACAGAATTGCACAAACACATTCCCTGCAAATAAATTTAATCTTGTGTACTTTATAAGACTTCCACCAAGAAAAATAACACTCGTGTCACTTCAAGATTTTGGTAAACTAACCATCGAAAAAATAGAGATAATTACGTGATGATTTTAATCAAACCATCTCCCCTTACTAATGTAAAGTGGTATACAGTAATCACTGCGTAAATGAGCAGATTTAGTTCATAATCACACGACAGAATTATACCACCACGTCATACACCTGGTTAGATTTTACCCATTGCCATAAACATAGACCAGAATAAAAATTGTATTTGTAAGCCCCTGCTCACTTTGTCTTTATTTTCATGATAAGTTGTATGAAGACTGGACAAGACAAGTACCAATACGTCTGCGCATGTGCTGTTGACGCCCATAAATATGATACAATGTATACAGCCTTGACATCCGACACATGCATAAAAACTTCAAAACAGTTATATGAACCAGCTGAAAAGGACAACCTCGACCATCTAATCAAATCTGGCAGAAGAATGGATTTTCAGCTCTTGAATATAATCAGTACGTTCAGAAGGTACCTTTTAAAAGATAACAACAGATAGAAATATCTAAAGAACTCCTCAATAACAGAAATGTATTGTGATTAATTAACAATGTTAATAGAGGGTATCGTATATCAATAAAATAGTGTTATATTAAACAAGAGGCACACAGCGCCTGTATCGCTCACCTGGGTCTCAATGGTATACATGCCTATGAATTGGGTATTTCAAACATTTCCAAATCACAGCTCAGCCATTTATGTGTAAATAAAATATGGCCCAGAAAGTATGTCCCTACAGTCATGAATGGTCATATCTTTTGATGCCCATCAATGTTATATAAGGTTTAAGGGTGGTAATATCAACTGTTCTAAACATGTAACGAAGAAACCTAGGGAAGTGGCCAGACCCCAGGGCCAATTCATACATCATGAACGTGTTTATCTCTTAATGACAAACAATGCTATATATGGGTATGAGGCCAATTATCCAAACTTGATTCCGATTCGAAAATGCTTCAGACTAATTTGGTAAAATCCTTTCATCCGTAAAAGAGGAGGGGGATTTTGAAGTATTTTCTCTATTTCCCTTATTGGGCTCCTCTCCTCCCACCCCCTGGGGGAGGTAGGGGTGCGAGACGCACCCTTTGTACAAAACAGATTTTCTTTCATCCAGAAAGCCTTCTGACCAAATTTGGTCAAAATCTCCTCCGATGTTCATGACTGGCAGCACTATGTAGAAAAAGAAGTTGATGGACGGACGCCACTCCATGGCATAAGCTCAGCGATCCTTCGGACCAGGTGAGCTAATAAACGCAATTGTTGACTGTGATTTTCCTCAAAAACATTGTATTAATTAATTGATATAAATTATCTGACATGGTATCTGCAGTACAATTGAAAAGATACGTAGAAGCTGCAATTTCATTACTTAAAACTATAAAACTTACATATGATACGGATTTGGTGTTATACTAAGGGGCATCTGCTATATAAGATATATCATTCCGCTAACTTTTACTTTCACTTTCACTCCTTACAAGCACTTGGAACAAGTTACAAATGCGTGGAAGAAATTCCACGTAGAATTTTCGAGATTATGGGCTCGTTTTCACCTAGAAAACATACAAAACACTGAACAATTATGAGGTGAAAAATAGTTAGATTGCAGTCAAAATCTATTGAAATAAAAAATATAGGCTAAACTAAATGTTTAAAACGTGTTGTTTGTGAAGTTTTTGTTTTCTAGGGGTATTTTTTCAGTGTGGTCATCTTGTTTATAAACATATAAGAAAAATAACAAATATATATATATATCGGTTCATCTGGTATAACTATTAGTTTGTGTACTTTTTTTTCATATATCATTTAATTAAGAAGTCGAGTAGTCTAGTAGTCATATTACCAGCTGTGCCTAACACTCTTCCACTCTCCTCGGCATTATATAAGATATATAAATACATTTTCATATCGATTTTACAGATGTTATTCTGTCTTGCATTTTCAAGCACATACAACCCATACAAATATCGCACATACTTTATATTGGACGTGCTAGATATTTCCCTGACACAGCCCATGCACAAGATCTGATGTTGGCCGAACACTGATGCAGGGATCATATAATACTTATCATATATTGACTTTAGAGGGACACAGAAACATCGTGATAAGAGGTATGGCTAAGGTTAACGCTGTGCTACGCTAAATGCAGTGCCTAAGGGGACCGTTACAACCTTGGAGGCATGCTGTATGTGACATTTTCAAAACAAAAAGACAGTGTTCCAAAGTAAGTGCGACTTATTTCGTTTGTTTTTGTATGATTATGTCCAGCTGTATCATATGCAATGCAGACATAGCGGGTTCTATACAATACGGCGCATTGATCGTCTGTATACTATATATAGCCGCCATGTAAGAGTCACACTACATTGCGCTTGTAATGATGATACTGCCGCATTCTGTGGAAGGTTTTCGTAATAGTATTCCAAACGTGTCCTATTTAAGAATATCTAATTGCGGGAATCACAAATAACTATAGAAATTTGTACCAACCTACACACCATACGACTGGGACATGCCCTCATCTCATCTAGCCGCCATAACAATGGACGAGATATATCTAACAAAGGCACATCCCAGGAACTCGTAGTTTCCAATGTGTAAATACAGATGCTGATCTGTTCTTATTTAGGTTTTCTTATTACAGGTCGTACCAATATGGCTGTTGTCATCAACGAGTTGTTGAATACAGACATATTATATATCAATATATATGACAGTATTTTATAGGAAACTTAGGATGTATAGATATGCTCGTGCGTAAGATATAAACTGGCTCTCAGCCAATCAGAAGGACATAGTTACTGTTGGGCATGCTTCATTTCTTAATGGGTGCAAAGTCCAAAAGAAATTTTGAAGCATCGTAATTACTCTCGCCTTGTACATAGTACTGCTGTGTTAAATCTAGGTCCTTTTAATCGCCTACTAAAATACATATGAATATCTGTCTAGATAAAAGGAACTTAAATTACAGTCGAACATCGTTACCTCAAATTTGTATAACTCGAAGACCCCGGCACCCGCCTAACTGTACACAAAACATTAGAACTCAATTAAATCGAATATTCGATAATCTCGAAGTTTCCCCCCATGGTCCCGCCAAGTTCGAAATAACGAGATCAGATTTTACATAGACAAGTAATGTTTTATTTAATACAGGTATATATTAGTAAATTTATTTGTTATCATGGGATAATGTCCTGTCCTTTACAACTCGGGATTTAAAAAAAAAAATTGGGGGGGTTAGGGTAAGGGGACGGCTTCAAAAATGATTATATGATGTTGGTGTTTCATATTTTTTTTCAAAACTACTTAATTAACAGGTGATATTTGTTATTCTTCTGAGGGTATTTTTAAAAAGGAAATGATTATTTTTGATAATAACACAATATCCTAAAATCAAACTATTTATATGACTTTGAAAATGAATGCCGTTTAACAGTCCATTGTCAGCAGCATTGTTTTTAATTCAAATATCTATACAAGTGAGGAATGGCTAACGAGCATTTGTAAGTGAAATATATCTATCTGCTGTGCTTTTACTTACTCCAAATGGTGCATAGCAAAGACAAATTATCAAATGATTCTAATACTAGCGATTTGCTATAATTTAAACACTCTTGGAAGTGCTAGTGTCATATTAAGCCGTATTCAACATGTGGTCAAATTCAATATCATATCATATTCATAGTTAGACACCATGTGACCTTCAAAATATTGAAATTTTATCTAAATATCTAAAACCTATAAAGTAATTTGGATGTTAGGACATCTCGCTTAGCATAGAACTTTTTGTTTGGAGCCTGATTCGGAATCAACTCCGGCAACAGAAATCTAGGGGAGAGGAGGGGTGGTGAACAGCTGCTTTCAATTCTTTTCTATAAAAAGTGTAAAATTGTCTCGGATTACTTCATCAGATACAAACCCTAGTAAAATTTCTTCCATAAGCTTAGATAAAACCGAAAACTGGCACAAAATGTATTTGTATTGTCCATGTTCTGTCCTACAATCTTACAATATCGTTAGGCTATACCATTTTATATTGCAAAGGTCGGAAATCCTACCTACCGCATAACAAAATATATAAAAAGTAAACAGGCTACCTTTTCATGCCTTTTTGTAAACAACTCACCTCATTTCCTTAAAGCCATTTCATTCCAGTCACCAATGTAAAACGATCTTTTATATAGAAGCCAGTGGAGACCATCCCACAAAAACATGCTTCCTTGATTTCCATTTTAGTATTATTCGTTCATCGATGTCATATGATTGGAAAAACCACAACGCTTCGAAGTTAAAACGAGGCACGAGTCTTATGTTGCACATTCGCTTTATGTTACTCAGTTTACGAGGACCGTCTTATATGTAGCACTACAATGTCTTCCTCGTTTACGGACACGAGATACCTCATACATATGAAATGTGAAGTTAAGTTTCAGGAATTCTGCCATACTTAATTGCTTTTGCATCACATATCCAGCTCCTGTAGAAAAGAAAAGAAGAAAGCTGACATATCATCCAAGTACTTTTGTCTGGGCGTCTGGGCAAATGAATGAGGTGTCTTTTTAACTTGTAAAGCCGCCAACATTGGCTGTAAACCGTTTAAGTTATAAATAGAAATTACAACCACTGGTTAGTGCACACATGCATATATGTTACCATGTGTGTTATGTGCAGCTGGTAATTTCCACCAGCATAGTAGAACAGCGCGAGGCTTGAACGACACCATCTAAAAGGGTGCGTTTTAACACGTTTTGAAGCGTGGATAAATTAAAAGATGTTAAAACTCCCAATTTCTAACAGATATTGAAATATTTCTTCCAGAGACTCGTTAGTGTAAGACTTTTTTCGTCAGTTTACACTTAAAAAAACGAACAGGTTAGAGGGTTCGAAAATCGAATGATCCCTGCATAGGTCATCTCTCATATTGTTTGTTATCCCCTTACACTAAACGACGATTCGCTAGCGATAGATTTCGGGATAAAATTCTTCAATTGTTTAAATGACCGCACGCAATGCTATTGGCGAATGTTTAATTTGTGTAATCATCACAAGTGTTCTTTCTTCCATCTTAGTGCTATTTTAAACAAGATTCTTGTACACATTACTTACGATACGATTTACATGAGTATGCGTACGTATCATAAGAGTACGTCTTGAGCTGATACAAACTTAATCGACCTGTTTAATCACTCATGCGTTTATTAAATAATGACATCTTACCTGACAACGTTCATATACGTGTTCAGATCCGATTGGTTGTGGGCTACAAAGGTTTTAAACCCTCAAATATAAATGAATTGGGTATGATAGATATAATCTTTGTACGTGTTACTTCTGTAAGGGCTCTGATTTAGGTAATTTTGTCCAATCTGGGTTATTCTTTGGGCTAAAATACATTGCAACATGTGCGAAACCCTGAGAGAATGACGAATTTCTCTATGGTGTTGTACAAGTAACGCCTACAAAGTTTAAATTATGGAGTCATAGCAAATTTCGATACACATTCAAATATTTCTTGTTCATTCAAATAGAATTTCTACTAATAAAGAAATAAATATCATTTTCTAATGTGATAAAGATACTGGAAAAGTTTCACGTTTTCATAAGATCTAATATCCACGTTTATCGATAACAGAATAAACTTTATAAATAAAACCAATTGATATAATGCTATAGCGTTTCTTTCATTCGTAACATCTTTACCTATCGTGATTTAAACGAGTCAATTTGCAACATCGAAAAATCTCTTCGCTGTGTACAAAAACAACGGGAACATACCAACAGGTGGAGAAAATCATGTTCAAACTCAAACTGAATAAAACTAGGGCGATTTCAACAACAAAATACCTATACAGCGACTCCTGACATATAGTTACATAGTATGTGTCGTCGATGAAGTAGAAGATGCTTACTCTTCCGGAACATCTTTCTCCTTGAAACGTATTCAATGGTCTTATCAAAATCACTCTTTTTACATATTTTGCCCAGGTTTTATTAGCTTATCTGGCCCGAAGTGCCAAGTGAGTTATAGGGATACCGCGGCGTCCGTCCTCCGGCGTCCGGCGTCTGTCAGTTTTTATCATATGTTGCAACTATTCATGAACGACTGAGCGGATTTTAATCAAAGACTGAAGCATCCATGGGGCAAGAGGAACCAATTTTGTGTGATGGGTCAGGGTTCAATAGAGAAAATAAATTAATTTCTTTAATATCTATCTTGTCTGAAGCAATGCTTTGGAAAAGTTTTTTTTTTATATAAATTTTGGGTCTCGGCCCCAAGAGAGACTGGGCCTAACAGGGAAAATCTATGAATTTCTTAATTTCTTATTATTTCAGGTATTGCTGGATATTATCCATATTTGGTCTGAAGCATATTTGGATAAAGGAAAATCAGTTATGTATTAATCATGGGTCTCGACCCCCTTGAGCTAAAGGGGCGGACCTAATAGTGAAAATCCCTCAATTTATTTAAAATCTATTCTGTTCTTCAAAAATCGCAGGATATTGCCAAAAATAAGTCTGAAGCATGTTTGGGTGAAGGGAAATCAGTTGTGTATAAACTGTGGGTCTCGGACCCATAGGGCAATATGGGCGGGACCCAACAGGGAAAATCTAGCTCCGAAGTAGATTTAGTTCATTTTCATATCATTGCTTTGCACCGTCAACAATTGGATCTTTGGTTCTTTGAAACAGTTGTTATCGATACTATATAACTAAACTTGCTGAGAATCAGGAGATAAACACAAGCATAACTGACAATTTGTTCTAGGGCCTGGTTTTACCCAAGGACAGATCATAACTTTGAAGCCATTGAGATTATCATCCCATAACTTAATATCAAGAGATTAAAACTGATCGCTGTACCCATCCCTAGGGAATTCGAAGCTGTATCTGTAAGGGTGAGGCTCATGAGGGGAAATATTTTCTTTCTAAAGAAATGTAAAATTTTGCATTATTGACTTAAATAAAAAGGTGATCGATACAGACCTTTATTTGAATTTGAGTTTGAATTATGATACGTCGATTTGCTAGTACTTTCCTTAATGTTTTAAACTGTTTTAATGCCGTCATATATAATATCAACTACGACATGTATTGTCATGTCACTGAACAAATCAACTATATCGAGAAGTCTTCTTAAAATTTATTTTTGGTTGAATTCGCGATGAGACAATATGTAGTGTACTTATTACATTGTAACTAAAGTACACTAAATGGACGCTTGTTTGTCGGATCGGGACCAATACCAGTCCTGTACACTCTTTCCATCCGGAAATCGGGCGAACCTTGGTTCCGGTTCCTCAAAATGGTTCGGAAATGACGATATGGACCTGGCATCCAGGGACAAACTACAAAAGCATCTTCTTCCTTATGTGGCGAATAGGCACGATAAACTGTCCTAAAGTTTTCCAGGAGTTTCTTAGGACGGATAGTATCGGCATATAATTTGTCCCAATTTGTATATGCATCCTTTACAGTTGCCTTCCTCATGTTCTGATAGTAGTCGTTGATTGCTTGGGTTGCCTTTGTGATTGAAGTAGACAATGGGATAAGGAAAAAGACAGAAAGAAGAAAGTTAGTTGGAAAGAACAAGACTAAGATTTATATGTAAATATATTGTTCCCCCGACAGAGATATTTATCTCGTTCGATTTGTTCGATTTTGCATTTTACTTTTTCAAAATATTTTTTTTAATTCGTTTTTTAAGAAATTTTTACTTATATACGTGTTGTTTTTGTTATAATTGATAATTATATTTTTATGGATAAAACATCTGTATATAATGTATCATATTTTCGAAATATAAGACGCAAATATATTTTCAATTTACGGTAGTACTAGCCAAAAAGTTCACGCAAAAAGTTACTCTACAAATGAACCGCACTAGTCAAGAACTTAAATAAAAGAGACTTTGAGGCAAATTCACATCAACAATTGCACATTTAGTTATCTCAACACAATTCTTGTATATATGACAGATACTTGAATACGTCTTCATGCCAAAACACGTAAATCAGAATCTGGCGAAACCTTATGACAATGGATGATATCCTTCATATGAACATTTCAATTCTTTTATGTTTATCAACACCATCACTCACCTTTTCCCGTATATTCGGGAGATCGTCAATAGTTGGGCGGTGTTTTAGGTATTTTATCTTTAACACCGGAAGTGGCACCTTTTCCCTATTACCCGATATCCTACGACTGGAACTGGAACTTCGGTCACCTAGTTAATATGATTATCAAACACACTATTTTTCCAACTTAACCTGCTTACACAAAATCAACTTTCCTATTTGAATCAATAAATATGTAATCTGATAAAGACTTAATTTAAATGGATCCTTTCAGACAAAATAATGATATTCATAACGTTTCTCGATGAAAAAAGGAATCCAGTGCTATTCCCGACCTGGATTTTGACATGTCTTTCAATCCCTTTACAATTTTCTTTAGTCACCTCCAAATTTACGCCATCAGTTGCTGTTCATTAAAGCTTCTTTTGTACAATCGTTTTTTAATCATAATTCTAACATGGATCATTTAAAATGAATACTGGTTATAGCACATCAGAAATCATAATTTGAATTAATTGAACATTGTATGAAAAAAATGTATACAAGTACAAATAGATAAATGAGCGTAAAATTTCTCTAGACAAAAGGTTTTGTATTAAATGAACAAGAGAAAAGAAAATGTTGATATACCTTTTTCATCGATTGCAATACTTTGTTTCGGTTGCTCTTCTAGTTCGGGTTCCTCAGTGGTTCTGTCCAGTTGGATGAGATTTGTTCCTGGCAATAAGAGATGCATTGTATATTCGGTTATTGTTTAAAAAAGACGACAACAACAACAACAAAATAAGTTGAAATATGTATGGTTCTACTGTATTGGTGGTAATCTTAAGTTGACAAATATTAACTTTTAAAATTTAGATTTATGTTTGAAGTCACATGATGAAATTACTCATATTTGTATCCATTTTATCAATGAAATAAAACACATTACATGAATTGTGTTGTGACCAAACGCATGCAGTGTACTAAAACCTAGAAGAGCTCTGATTAGCTGAGGGTTCATATTGTTTCAACTGCTTTGTCATTTCTTTATTTTTGTTGTTATGTCACTTATAAAGATTTATTGAGAGAGAGTATCGCCATTTTAGATTTAATATTGATATTAATACTGTAATGCTGATATAATGTATAGCTAAAAATGTATCTCAGCTCTAGTGATAAACTGGATCATTATGAAATACATCAGGACTTTTTCATTGCACCGCGCTTAATGAAACAATTAAAAAATATAATAACTTATTGAAAGAATTCCGTGTGAAAATGAAACTCGTATAAGATGATCTTAATACCAATTTCAGAACCTTGTTTCTTTTATTACGATTATAAATCATATCATTTTGAACTGAACCACACGATAAGAAAGAATCAATAAATCAAAAGTTAAGACAACATTGATAACACTTACAACTTTTGTGATATAGCTCACAATACTTGGAAGGAAATGAAAATATTTTACGGCCCGAAGACATCACAAGATAATAATACTGCAAATTTTGACATGTTGTAGATAGCAGTAAAGAAGCATGCAATCGATCTATTTCGGAGTTTATTAATTTTGTGCTCCTTCCTCCCATATATGGTCATTTGGTGGTAAAAGTTGGTTAAAGTGCAACATGCTTATCATAAATGATTTGGTAATTAATATCTTTACAGAGATTGAAGAAACATGGACACATCAGAAAAAGGAAGGCGTTCTTCGTGGGCTAAGATAACTGGATGTGTTTTCACTTTGATCAACAACCTTATAGCGTAAGTGAACATCAGATATAATACGTTAAATATCAAAAGCAATATACTGTAATTATAACGGAAGTAGTATAATTTCTGATAAGTAAAACATTGTGAAAATAATATAAATATGATTTTCTTATCATGAAACGAAATCATTCATATCAACATTCAAAACGGTTACTAACTAAGCGTACTAACAAACTTGTCATGTGTCAAAAAGTTGGGACTGCTCATGTCCTACCACTCTAATAGAAATTTCATAAAGATACATACATTTCCCTCTGTGTAATGATTTCTGGAGAATTGACGTCGTCGTAGCCAATGGGAACTTTAACAAATCGGAACATTTTTTTTCAAATTTTGAATTGATATAGCAACAGACGTCAATTGTATGGATAAGTATGTGATCCTCTTCAAATACGTTATGAGTACGGTGCACTCTTTAAAACGGTGTAAATAGATATTTTTCATGTCAATGTTTATATTCAAGTTCATTGGAAATGGACACTGTAGCATCTTACCATCAACCCAAGAGAGTGTGACACATTGAAGGACATAAACTCTATGCCAAGCCTTTTTGAAACATGTACAACATAATGGGTCAGAGACTAAAGACAAGAGCGTATTTTATTAGATGGCAAATACGTTAAAGAGGCATTACGGCAAACAAGTGAAACTTTTACATTTTAGTAGCAGCAATAAAATGCACTCGACATATATTTCTACTAAATGACAAGACTGTCAAGACGATAGAGATAGATGAATGAATATATAGAAGGGGAAATGTTTTCAGTCAGAGTGACAAATGCAATGTAAATGTTGTTGGGATGGTTTGGTGAGAGCAGCGGAAATGTGTGTAATAAAAACGTTGGAATGACAAATGTTTCCAAATCTAGAAAAGATTACAATGGGGCACTTAGCTTACTTATTTTTGCCCTTAGATTAGCTATTAGATGACTTCCGGGCAATCTGGAGACAATGCTGCTTCTTTTATCCCACATCTTCAGGGATTCCTGAAACAAAAGTTCAAAGCGGAGGAATTTAGAATCTTATTTCAAAACTTGTCATTTTATTAGATAGGTGCGTTTTTTTTTTTTATTAAATAACCTTTCAAACATTGCTATGCCAACATGTAAAGTTCAACAGCTATTATTACCAGTGCCTTTTTAACTGTCTATCATATGTCACAAGAAATCGTGTGACACAATTTCAGCCAATCATGAAGTGTTAAAAACTTTTTGAAAGTATACATATTAGTTGAAAAAAGAAACGAAAGTTTGGTTTTGTAGACTTTAAGATATGTGATCGAAATTAAATTTGATTTGACATTGAGCTATATCCGTGAACTGAAAAAGTGTTTTTTCGGCTAAAATTCAGCCGACTGTAACCCCGCTCGACACTGCATGCTTTCAGCAGAGTTTTTAAGAGAGCGTGCATTCGGAGATACTCCTGCACTATATGTGCTGGTAAATCATTACAAATCGAACATTGGAACAGTACAGATCGGTTACACAACATTTCTTTTCGAAGCGATTGTAGAGCGAAATGCCGTGATTGAAACGTCATACGTCTCTCGTACCTCCGCAACCGATTTCAGACGGCGACGGAGACGGCACGCCAAGTTGTCGGCACTCAAGGTCAGCTTGTGTGTCCAAGAGCGGTTAGGAATCGGTTGTGGGAGATCCATTTAAGGCCACGACGTCACTATGTTGGTCCGCCACTCACGCGAAGGCGACGCCAACGTTGAATGAGTGACTGTTTGCACAAGAACCTAATCTATCGACCCCGTGGTGCTAGGGTTTGTCGGGACTCTCTGGCTCAATAACAACAAAGTTCTGGATGGCCACTAGACAGTCCAGATTTGTCCCCAATCGAACATTTGTGGGATGAACTGGACAAGAGGATAAGGAAGCCCGTTAACGTCCTATATAATGTCGCTCAACTCACGCAAGCCCTTATTCAGGAGCGGAATGATATATATCAAAGTCAATAAACACCTTGATGTTGCCTATGTTAAGGAGAGTAAGAGCAGCGACTGAAGCCAGAGGTAAGCACTCACGCTACTGATTTTGATAAGGAAACCGTAGGGTACCCTTGTTTTAACGCTATTTGTGAAAACGTCGTCTGTGAAAGGACAGCACAAATCATCAAAATGTTTCAGTAATGATGAAATAATCAAGAAACCCAAACAATGGACTAATCATCAATGAATTATGTAAAATAAACTTCAGTTTCATTTTTCCGCGGGTATATATTGGTTGCTTACTAACCAACTTGTGTTCTATATTACAAAGAAAATGGTATTACAAAATTCTAACGACATAAAAACCATAATTAAAGCATTAATCATCGTGAGATGTTACATACAATGTACGTACATTGATGGTTGCTTGCACTTCTTTGGTGACCTTGTGATCAGAATTGATAGCATCGATCACAATTTGTGGCTTGACGTCAGTTTCGGCTAATGCTAAAACCTTGGCAGACATCCGGGTCTTTTTTCGTTGTAGTGGGGAATGCCTCCGATCCGCTGCTAGCTTGTATTGGCTTATTTCTTTCCTTCCGACCTGGGGAATTTGATAGAAATACTAGTATTTTCTTCATTTAAATGCGAATTAAAACACCTATTCAAATACTGGACTGTGTGTACATGTTAAGATGTGAAGTTTTGTGGATGAACAGCTATTTGTAAACTTTGTTAGTCCGAATTGTTATTCCGGGAAATAAGGAGACGGAGCAGATGACATGTGCTTTTATTTTCAAACAGTGACATCGTTTTCGACTTTAATGTTTGAGTCACTTTTCCCTTTTTATTTATCAATTACATTTACAGTTATTGTTGCTAAGAAAAAAATAAGACCAAATGATGAACAGATACATTGTCAGATTAAGGCACATTTATACATTGTAGGTATACAGTCAGCGTACACGGATAAGTTACCGGTGAAATAATGCGACCTGATAATATATAGCGAAAAATGAAGTATACAAACCTGCTTTCTAATACTCTTTGGTTTCACCGCACCACTCTGTGACACGAAGGGCAGTGGTTTAGCATAAGGCGAGTCGTTGTTCCTGGCAGTTTTCTGCATCTTTTTGAACTGACGTTGGAGCTGACGATCTGTTAAGCCGATAAGGCGCACTCCCGCAGTATAATGACTAAGAACATGGGGCGCCTGGCGCATTCGAGCCAAGTAGGATCTCTCAATTTCTCCCAATGTTGTCTTCAAAGAGAACTCGGTTATAGCGGTGTAAAATAATCTTTGCCTTTTTGAGAAATTCCTTCCTCTCTTCTTGTCACTTTCTAAATAAAGATCAACAAGAATATACCAGGTGGTCAAATTTTGATTCCAATACAAACCGATTGAGAAGGAAATGAAACATATAAACGGCAATACGTATATTGCTATCGGAATTAACCAAACATTAAATCAAACACACACACAAGAGGGATGTTCCTATCTAGACTCGATTATTAAACTTTCTAATGTTGAAGATGTTTTTCTTTAAGAAAGAAAAAATACAATGCTTTTCTTCGTTTCAAACTATATCACATTGAATTATATCCTGGTTCAATAGGAATTAGGTGTCGGGCAAAATGTGCGAAAAAACTGTCCTTATATATTACTAAATACGCAGTTACAATGAAAAAATCTAACTTATCTTTGAGGGGTGATATTGATTGTACTAATCTTAGTAAATAATTAACGATTTTATCAAAGAAATGTATATTACTTACCCTCATCACTCTCACCTCCACCCTGCGTCATATGAAACAGGAATTCGTCAAAATCGATCTCGCCATTGCCATCTTTGTCGAGCTTCTTCAAAACATTTTCAACTTCTTCTTTGGTGATATCACTGTCCACCCGTTTCAAGCCCTCATACAGACTATCAGCGTTCAACAGGCCCGTATTGGAAGAGTCTAGTATATCGAACAGCTGGAAGAAACAATTATGTGTTTGCTTTATTTCAATCCCATGCTTCACACTTCTTTGTTGCATTATTGTGTGAGAAGGAAAATCAATCTTTATATTTTATTTCCTTGTAAGATATGGAGTTTGGTATGTTTGATGCTTGTTATAGTATGTCTAGTGGTTCCGTTGTTGTATACCTAGATCTCATTTCGGAATGTGACATCACTTACTTGGATTGGCCAGGATTTACATGAGGGAATCGACGATGAAACAGAAAATACTTCCGGAACACCTGGTCTTATTATCCTTGTACTTTTCCAAAAATAGATGTTTTGCCCTAGTTTTATTAAATTTGAGTTTTGGTGATTTCTTTCTCTCTCTTTTTTCATTTTTCATAAAACTTTGTAATAGCATACACAACTCTTTTATGTCACCGTCTAGAATGTCCATAAGTCTTTTTGTGTACATTTTCTAGAAGAGTCATCACAACGATTTACGTTGAAGCCACGTAAAGAAAAGTGATATGTTTATGACCAGATCATTGACTTACTTCCTTGAAGGCGGACGTGTGATCATCTGTGAGGTCTTCGTACCAATCCGGCATCACTTGAGTTGATCCAGAGACTGTTGAACAGCATTATACACATTTATGTACAGAGATATTCGTCAGCCAATTATCTAACGTCACTTCTAGAAACTCCAAGAACAAGGTTTTGACAAAAATATTTTAACTACATTCTGAACTGGCAGATGCAATATAAGGCAAAATAATTTCTTTTTTGTTTTGCTTTTGTTAACTTTTGTTAAACGTAGTTATATAAATAAAGACATTTAGTCGCCTTTGTCTTTTTTACTAACTTATTCACTAAGTGAGGGCGGGAAGTATTGCTCATTACATTGTAACTCATTAACTCGTTCAAACATACATTCAATCGCTCACTCACTTACTTGATGGTTCACTCATTTATAAATCACTTACACACTAGACAGTATAACTCATTCATTGCACGTTATACATTCATTCATTCATAAATTCACTCGACATAAATCTTTACTCACATGTTACTCACACGCTCTTACCAGTTCAACCGCTCTTTATACAAATTCACTCATTACAGGACTAAAGTACTCAAAAAATCACTCGCAATAGAACATCTCTCATCTACATGACTCAGCACATATTTTATCCGTCATAGAAATTCACACCAATCACTCACTCACTACATAACTCATTTACTATAAAATCACTCACTCACCATGCTGTCTATACATGACTCATTCGTCAAAGAAAATAACTCATTAATCACTGACTCACCACACAGTCAATACATGTTTCCTTCGTCAAAGAAAATCACTCACTGATCACTGACTCACCACAGTCTATACATGACTCATTCGTCAAAGAAAATAACTCATTGATCACTGACTCACCATACAGTCAGTACATGTTTCATTCACTTTGAAAATCACTCATTGCTCACTCACTCACTACATGACTCACAATATAACTCACTCGTCAGAGAAATTCATGCCATCGATTTCTGGCTTACTTGGTTATGTGAGTATAGTGTTAATAGCAATATGTGTGTTATACTCACTATGAGGACTATCTGACGATGACATCTCGACCGATTCTGAAGGTACATATGGGTTTGCCACGCCGAGGTGTGAAAGGCGTGGTTCTATGTTTTCATCTGTCTCCGTTAGACTCTTTGTTAAATGAATAAATATTATCATCAAACAAAACAAGGCAAACATCAATCAAATTATTTCTTTATGATTAGAAATCAAGTTTGTCACTTACGTACCATATATATTCTCTAAAATGAATGAAACATTTGTATTTACCAATACATGTATTTATGTTTGAGGAGAAGAGGTGTTAGGCAAAGAGTTTGTACGAAAACTGAAGTCTGTTATTGGATATTTATCTTTTTAAGAAAGATTTTGCAAGAAAAGAAAGCTGTTGAAATATGAAACTGTTGAATAAATCAAGTTAGCGGCACCATTTTGCTTCTAAACAATGTTTGGTTTTGGTTGCCAAGGCGACGGAGCAGCTCGATCGCGCCATCGTCTCCCTTTTCCTCTTTCGGTAGGTCCTTCTTCGACCTGGAATGGCTCCGTTCCCTCTGCTGCTTCATTTCGTACCTTGGACACTGCAGAAATATTTTGAGTTTGACGAGTGAATAAATTTTGATATCACGAATAAACATTAAGTGTCAGAATCCGGATATTAGCATGCAGTATAAAAGTTAATGATATTATTCTCGATTGTCAATGCTATTTCTGATGTGTTCCTAAACCTAAGGTGTTTACATGACGAATTGATTCGATATTCAAAGATTTCCATATTAATCACAATATCATTATTTTCACAAAAAGAATCGACAGCTATTAGATAAACTTAAACCACAGCCTGATTCATAAATGTAGACTATTGGAAAGCTCTATGTCCGACAGTGTAATTCGATTGAGAAATATTATATTTTCTCGGATGATGTAAAACTGGACGTGTTTGATGCTCATTAGTAAATCTGGTGGTTTGGTTCTTGTTAACATTCATCATCTTTTTATTCCTCAATTGTGAGACACATAACTTTACGAATTATTTACATTTATTACAGTGGTAAAGTTCGTATCACGTGTGTAAAATGTTTCAATTTATCCTCACCCCTGAACTGTATTTACGTTTACTGCTGAACACAACGATAGAACATTTACTATTATCATATGTATATATTGTTTGTAGCTGCAAACTACACAGATGAATTGAAATATATTTCCATTCATTTCTGTAGTTTGCTGCTACAATCAACATTTCTAGCAGCTCGTTTGGGCTTGTTGCGATAATCGTCATATTACGTACGGGAGTTGGATTTCCGCTACTTATGTCATATGCAGTAGCACCACAATTGAATTGTTCCAATTAATGTACTAGATAATTTATAAATGATACGTACAAAATCCAGAGCACTCCCCATTCCCTTACCCTGGATCGTATATGGTTCCAGTATCACCTGACTTGATTAAGGAAGGTACAACTTTTGACATCTGTATAGGCAGATGATGATGACTTTCAGAAGTGATACAGTTAATCCTATTTGTCTCTGCTTATGTATGAACGCTTCATGCCAAACTGAATCAAAAGCCTTTTTAGATACCGAAAAGGTCTCTCATTTCGGAGCATGTGACATTACTACTTGGATTTACCAAGATTTTTTTTTATCGGGCGTCTCCATATTTTCATCTTGTTTCGATTTTAAATTTAGATTAGTTTCATTATTTTCCCGGTATTTTGTAGTCAATCTTGTAACCTGTTCAGTTAGTTATTCCTTTAGAAAGTAACAACGTGCGAAAAAGTTCAATGTTTTCTTATCCCCTTTTATAAAACTTCAGTGTCTTCTATGAGTGTCTTCCTCGATGTAAACTGCCTTCCCCTTAATACACCATCATTTTGTTTAGCGAGTATTATGGCAGTATAACGAAATTTTGCTGTTTTTTCAGATCTTCAAGGAATTATTATAATCTGGATGATGTACTACATCATGAAATGAAGTTCTCATTGGTACGCGTACTGTATATCAAAGTATACACAAGTCAAAACTGTCTAAATGAAGTCTAGATGGTGACAAGTGAAAAGCCAAAACTATGAAACGGTATCAAGACAATTCATCCTGTTGACTACCGTTGGTCACAGAACTAATGAATTCATAACATTCATTTCCTGAGCGGAAGCTCAACACAATCGTAAAAGATAATAAATATTGCCACAGATAAAATCACAAAACACAGATCTGATGTTAATCAGAGAGATAATTATCCAAAGTAATTAAATATGCGACAAAGCTTTATTTTTGACGCTTTTCAGAAAAAAAGTCTGTTACAAAACTAGTTTGGTAGTGTCAAATGAAATCCCGTAACTAAAAAATGGTAGGACATCTGGTGAACTTTCGCTTGTCTCTGTCAAGGGACAAAGTCTCAACATAAACGTAAATGGTGACAAATATTGCTGAAGATAATATCATGAAAAACAGATATAAATCAGAGAGAAACAGTTGTGTGCACAGCCTTAATTTCACTTTCCGAAGAAGAGATCCCATCTTCCCCATAATTAAACGGAAACATTCGGACGATATATGTATGCACTTTACAAACAAACTAAACATCATTTCAGAACACAGTTAGATGTCGTTTTGAACTGAACCAAATTAAAGTCCATTTCTATATATAATACCAAACTACTGTATATGTTATTATACATATAACAGCCACTGGTTTATCATTATTATTGTCATCATTATTTATTATTACAATCTGTTGTTGTTGTTGTTGTTGTTTTCTTTTTATTTCTCTCCTCACCCCCTTCTTAAAATCATTTTTCTGTCATGTATATATATCATTATTTTCAAGCAAATTATGTCTAGTCATTTATAATTGACAATAAAGGATGCAACCAATTACAATTTTATTTTATTTTAAGTACGTACTTATTTTAACATTCTTACGGAAATTTCAATATCATATACAAACCAATTGAAATCGTTGCGTTAATTGACAAATGACAAATAAAAAAATAATAAGTGGGCGTAACCTCCTTAGCAACATCATTTTTCCAGCTTTCTAATGACCTAAACATTTAGAAAAATACTCTTATTCGGCTAAACATATATCAAGATATAACGTTTACCTCTCACTGCTATGAAGGCGCCTTACATATCTGTTTCATCGAAGTCTCGTCAATGATGTAGCATATCTTGGGCTGTTGTTGACATCCCAGTCGCGGACTCCATAAATCCCGCCCTCATTATGACGTCATGACATGCGCAACTATCTCAAATGAATACTTCCGTTAAATTTGCACATGTTTCCGGTTTCAGAATGTTGTCGGTTGTTGTCTACTTGCACTCAGTAAGATGGGCCCTTCCAGCCGCTGTGATGGTCGGAACAGCCCCATTCTTCGTTGGACTATGGGGAGGGATACGTTTAGTCACAAGCATATTACCTAGACGATGCTACCGAATGAGTGACGATTTTCTGTACAGCATTTACCAACGGATGACAATCTTCTTTTTCTATCATGTATCAGGGGTTGAGGTATAAATGTCAAACCACATGATTTTGTTGTTGTTGGAAGATCGCAAAATTCTTGTTTTAAATTATAGTAAAACCAAAAATAGACCGCATGTAACGTTAGCCTGATACATACTGTTAGTTACCTCATTTCGGTAAATACACCAATCGTCAATTCACCACAGAGTGTTATTGAAATAATCAAGTTCCCTGAAGCCTCTCGTCTGTCAAGAGACCCGTAAATATGATAAGTGTGTCCTACCAACTAAAACAAATATAGCCTGATTTATGTAACCTCATTTTCTTTAGTTTTAACTTAAACTTGACAATAATTATATATAAAGTTGTAATGTTTTGTTTCTAGTATACAATTCGAGTTTAAGTTGGAATCTTAATGATGACAGAGAACCAAAAAAACAGTTCTTTATATTTTTAATTTTCACTTTGCAGGTATTGGCGTACGGCGATACTGATATTTTCAAAAAGAAAGAAAATGTGATTTATCTTTGCAATCATCAAAACACAGGTAAATATTTTTGATGTGAATTTCAAAGAGATCATCATATTGAGATGTCTTTCTTTCAGATTCAAGTTTTTCTTCATCTGTGATAATGTAAAGACTTATGACCTACATAATAATGTGTAGTCTTTTGGTTTTAACTGTCGTTGTAAGATAGTAATCTTGTAATTAGCTAGTCTTGTACAGCGATGAATTATTCCAATTTCCTATAAATAAGTCTTGTGTATCAACCAGACATCCTGTCTAATCTGACACTTGTGTATTCTGACATTCTTTCTAATCTGGTCCTAAGTATTCTGACGTAATCTGACACTAACAATGAATCCAGACATCCTGTCTAAACTGATACTTGTATACCTTATTGATTACCAATATTATAATTAAATATAGGAAGACAATCACTCACAATACATGAAATAAATTCCTTTCTCGCATACTGTTGGTACTTTTTTTCTTTTAACTAGAACTTGATTTTTTTTTCCCTGCAGTTGATTGGATGATTGCTAACTTCCTAGCCGTACATCAAGGCTCCCTTGGACATATCCGATATATTCTGAAGGATGGCCTTAAATTTTTACCTTTTTATGGCCACTATTTCAAACAAGTAAGATGACACTTTCATTATTTAAAAGTCTGTTTATTGGTAAGCTAGGATTTGCTATTCTGAAACATACTGCTTGACAAGAATATTGATAATAAGTTATAAATTATTATATGTGATTTTGTCACGGTTATTGTAAAATTAAATGTCAAAGCATAAATGATATTACTTCAAAACCATGAAAAATAATATATATTTCATCATTTTGAGGGACAGAAGATTCTAATGTGTTTTTTGTATGTGTGTGTGTGGTATTTTTGGCTACTAAAGGCAAATAGTTCTGATTTTTTAATTATATACTTCATCTGTTTTGATGTCCCAGATTTTACAGTGAAACAGATCAAGGTCAACAGAAGTACTTAATCTGTATTTTCATCAGTTGTTCTTTTAGTTTTAGATTATATTGAAAATATTAAATATTAGTAAAAATGATATGAGAAAGGTTAATGATAAACATTAAAGGTCTTTGATTACAGGTAGTAAAAACCTTTGACATATTTTTATGTCAAATATAACTTTTATTTTATATTTGTAAAGTCATGGAAATAGCCTGCATGTGTTTTTGTTTTAGCATGGTTGTATCTACATTAAAAGAGGAGGAAAATTCAACAAAGAAAAATTAAAGAAAGATGTTTCTGTCATTAAAGTTAACAAAGAACCGGTAAGGTCTTTATTAATATTGTTAATTTCATTTTTAAAAAAAGGTGAAAAAATCAAAGTGACTTTGATCTTTCAACTTAAATCTCTGTTTACCTGCACATTATTTGATGAAGCTTCTTAACAAGGCAGAATGCCCCCAAATTCATATCTGTAACATCAAGGTTGCTAGAGATGTTTCAAGGTCAAAAAGAATTTTCACAACTTGAATGATGTACATAATAACTACTCTAGACAAGATTTGTTGAAGAAGCGTCACATGCTGTAGGACAAGTATAGATGTCGTGTTCATCAAGGTAATAGCAAGAGGTCAGAGGTGAAATCACTTCATTATAACTAAATTCTTTCCAAGATAATGAAAATTTAACCACTAACGTTACATAAATTTTCTGAGTAGAGTTTGGTGATTTATTATTTTATATTTAGTAAAAAAGGAAAAATTTATAATGATAATTGAGCAGAAATAACATTTCCTTGCTGGTGTAAAATATATGGGGAGTTTGAAGAAGAGAAGATTTATTTCCCTTAGATGTTTCTGATATCTTTTGTGGGATTTAAGTGATCATATTATTAGGTTATGAATTAGTGTTTTCAATCCATGACTCAGTCTGCCATGTTGGGCCTCTGCCATACGCCAATACAGCAGTCCAGGCAGTAATATCGAATATTGAAAACATTAATCAACCATCATTTTGTTAATTAACATACCCATTTATCTGTAAATAAATTGCTCCAAGTTTCATAAATATCAGTGGTCTTTCTACCAGCTTGTTTTCCTCACCTGGTTTTACATTTGTACCAGACAGCCCTTTCTGTTTGAATATTTAATTTACCATTTTGTGAGCTGACATGTGCTTGTGGACCAGTCATCTGTACAGAAATCTAACTTTCCATTGTTGTAGATCAATTTCTACTGTAGTCTGTTTCTTATAATGGAAAAATCACAAGTTCATAAGCAGTCTAGTTCAATAAAACACCATTGATTGCACTTTCAATCTGCTCTCTCGTTTTTCTCTCTTTAAATTTGAAACTAGTCACATGATCCAATATTGGCTTCTCCCAGGAGTTGAATCGAGGACCTGTTGTTTATGTACTAGACTTACACTAAACCAACAGAGCTACATAAAGAGCAATTCCCCTCTAGCTCAGTGGTTCATAGATATCGTGGCTAGAATTAATTAGGGTTCCCTCAAACAAAGTTCTTAACCAGGTTTTTTTTCATGGGAAACTTCAATACTTATAGGACAAGGCTATGTATTCCAAAATTATTAATTCTCTGCAGGACCCTATCTTGATGCCACTTTGATAGTGATTGTAAAAGATCATTATTTATTTCAATGCCTCCATCAGGAATTTCATTGAACCAATGAAGCTAAAGTGAAGCTCCACCTAGCTGAGTGGTATATTGTTGCAAACAGAAGCATCTTATCAGTTTTATTGTCATGCAGTGCATTTTCAGAACTAAAAAACTATACTTACTGGCCATATCTCTGATGAAATACATATGTGGATACCCATGCTAATCACAGAAATGTCACACATATATAGAATTTCAGTGTTTATACCTAAATTATAAAACCTGTATCTTTGAATAATATATTGATGATAAAAATATTATGTGACAAAACTGGTTATATTCTCCACTGATTTTCTATGTTTAGATATGGTTAGTTATATTTCCTGAGGGAACGAGATACAATCCTGATCTTCCCAGTGTAATAGAGAGGAGTAAAGCATTTGCTAGAGATCAAGGTATGGCAGTGACTGAAAGTGAAATGTGGTTTCTTTAACATTTAAAATTGGTTCATTGTAAAATTAAATTGAAAGTCATAATCTTAGCCCACATGACACAATTTTAGATACAGTAGAACCCACTTAATGTCACGTCAGTTAATGTCATATTCCAGTTAATATCACATTTTCTTGATTATGATTATTTGTATTTACAATGGCATAGCAATGCCATTTTCTCTATGAACTATTCAGAAAGATGCCTGATCTACAATACAATAAATTGCATGCAGCATATGACTTATACAGAACAACATGTCAGAATATGAGTAGGCTTATCACCAGACATGGGTTTATTCTCAGAAAAAATTCCGCAACATGTCTACTTCTTGAAATATCAAGTTGCAGTTGAAAAAATATGATATTTCTTTAAAATAAAAATAAAAGTAATTAAAAAAGAATTGTTGAAACATTTAAGAGGAGATAACTCCAACTGAAGAAATTGCCTACTGTAGAATTTTTCTTGGGATTGTTCAAAATTCATGATTGTTTATAATTAACCTGGTACTAAAAGATGACGTTGTCTGCTTTTAATAGGACTGAAGGAATTACAGCAGGTGTTGTCACCCCGTACTAAAGCTGTACACACATGTATAGAACAGCTGGCTGGTCATGTGGATGTTGTATATGACGTCACTATCGCCTATAGTGATACCAAAGACAGTTCTGGCGTACGCAAAGTAGCACCACCTATGACTGGTTAGTGAATCATTAAGACAAGTAGCAATGATGATATATTTTTCATAGCTGTGAGTCTAATTACAAGAATTATTTGTTTATAAAGCATTTTGTAGCCATTGTTAATTCTTTTCATGTTTTGACAATTTCTTTGAAAAAATATTCAAAATGTATATACAGTATTCAGTAAAACCACACAAAGTTAAATTGTGGTAAGCTTGAATGTGTTTGTCTGTTATCAAGTGAATTAACCCATGTAATATTTGTGTATATATGTCCTAAATGTAATATATCCTGGAGAGATTTTCATTGTCTGTGCCAATCAGAAATCCATTATGGACAGAGATGTTGCATCATGAATTACAATGGCATATCAAAATGACTACCACTATTTTAGTTTGTCTATCTGCATTTTGACATTAAAACCTAAGAAAATGTTACTTTTTTTAGTTATGTTATAAAAAAGTTTCTATCTTTAATGAATATTAAACTTTTCTGAAAGGCTTGCAAAATTAAAAACTTCTAAGACCTGTGTTTGTACTCTGTTGATATAAACAATAAATATTTGATAATGAGTGTCAATGGCTCTCCCTAGATTTCCTAATGGGTAAGGTATCCAAACTACACCTGAACCTGGAGCGGATTCCAATGGAAGAGATTCCCAAGGAAGAAGATAAACTCCAACTCTGGTTGCACAAGCTCTATGAGAAAAAGGACAAGTATGTGTCATCCTGCCTTGAACAATCTAGATAGGGACTTAGGGATTCTACACAAGTTGGCAAAGTACATCATCTGGTTCTTGTTTTCTTTAGTGTTTGCTCAAACTCTTTGTATGATTGCTTGGAATTTGTGATTTTGGTTAAAATAATGCCCAAGTCAAAGATATCTATAAGGAAATTGATCCATTGGTTGGTATACCTATTTTGAAGTGGTTATCACTATAGTATGTGTATGAATCAGTCTTGTGTCAACAGTCTATTGTTAGGGGGATAATGATGAACTTTTAGTATGGTTTTTGGTGTTGTAACCCTCTCCTAAAGTCTCATTAGTGAAGGAAATCAAAAAGATTAATTCAAACTGTTTTCAATTGCAGCTATTGTGCATATTGATTTTTATTAATGACACAGGGATACAGTTGTGGGTTGTTTGGATGCCTGGCAAACAAAACACAACAAGTACTTTGAAAGCATATGTATCTATGTATGAACTCACACATAAGGCATTCCAAAATTGTGTAAACACATTTACTGTATAGCCATGTCAATCTGTACATTTGACTATGAATTATGATGAAGTAAAAGTCTTTTGATTGGAAAAGGTGATTCTTCTTGTTAACAATTTTTTTTTTTCTCTCTTCTTTGCAGAATGATGACAGACTTTTACTCCGATGATGACAGATTGCCTAACACAGGAAAATTCCCAGGAGTAGCAAAGAAAGTCACATTCACATATCTCCAGACTATGCCCTCAATGCTTTTCCTGTCAACTTGTGTTGGCCTGCTTCTTTCCACCCCAGAGGGTCGCATGGCCTTTGGAAAGTGCAGCTTATTTTTTGCGGTTGGAGGTTGGGTGTGGACAGCTATCCGATCCTGATATGGTGTTTATCATGTTGCTTATGATGTGTTGTATAAGTCTATTTCTTCTTGTGCCAATTTTTTAATTTGTAGTTGGTTTTAGTCCATATTTATTTATGTCAAGATATATTTACAACAAGAAGTGTTGAATCTTCTAGTTAACACTTCTTGCTCAATTATTATGCTTCAACTGCTACAGATTCTCTCTTCACCAGATACTTTTTGCAACAAATTATTTGGCTGATTTGGAGAGATGTCCAGATGAAAGATTTTGCTGTAAGAAAATCAGAGAAAATGTTTTCTCAACACCTGACATGGCTAGGGACATCCTTGACCAACTACCAAAATATAAGTCTGTTGGAACAATTTATGTTGGAAGATTGTACAAAAATACAAATTTAATGATGTATAGTAGACCCAATCAATTAAATAACTGTACTGAAACATGTTTAGTTAGATTTAAATAGAGAGGATTCAAAAGATTGATAGAAATGAAGAGGATTTAGGATTAGAGGGAGGCTGGTTTTACTCCTAATATTGCTTATGAATAGAGGCATGAACAAATACTGTTTCATTGTCTTTAAATGTCACTCTCAGACTTTGAGTCAGAGATTATGTGTAGGATCTCCTTATACACATATTTGAAACAAGAAAATTAAGTACATTTCTGAAATATTTTTGCTTATGTCTTTCAAGTTCAAAGATACCATTATTTACAAATTATTGTTGATTCAATGAATTGTATAAGAAACTATTTACTTTTTCATTTTACATATCTAAGTTATCATGATATAACTGAAAAAAGGTGATAAACACATTTGTGAATTTATGATAAAAAATGATGATTTACAAGTATTCAACAAATATCTTTTTTACGTTTTGTTTACACTTAATATGTAATACTGTCCATTACACTTACGTCGTAGATAATAAGAGAAACACACACAAATATTTGATCTTGTCACAGTATAAGATATTCATGTACCTTCATAATTTATTTGGTAGTAGCAGGTAAAATTTTAGATAAATTTTCTTGTTATCATTTTAGTGCTAGTCAAAAATCCCAAATCAAAATCTTTCTGCTTTTCATATTTACACTGATTTACACAAAACATACTGGTGCAGTGAAAATGCACTCCCATTTCACCTTGACAACCGGATTTCACTTTCCTGAATGTCTGAAGGTATTAGGTCACCTACTTGACCCCGTTGGTCTTCCCTCTGGTACTTTCGTTTGTTACCACAGTAAGACCCTTTGCACACTTACATCTGCACCAACAAAAGTGATTAGCCTTGGGTTTGTATCGCAGCTAAAAGGAATGAAGTTTATAAAGATTATTTCGAAAGTACCAGTACTTCTGTTCAGTCTCCATGAAATTCTGTTTATGTTTGCTTGCATGCTGTGTATTACTTTCCATAAATCTTGTGTGTGTGTGCGCGCGTATGTATGTGTGTGTGTGTGTGTGTGTGTGATATAAATTGAGGCTCTGGAATCTTTTTTAGCGCTTATATCTGGTCTGATTGTGTCTGGTCCAATTCTTATATACAAGTAAATGTATAGTGGCGATGACCAAACCTGTGCTTATTTCATGTATTTGTTTTCTTGAATTGCATCAACATGTCCAAATTATACTGGGTTTTTTTTGTTTGTTTGTTTGTTTTGTTTTTTTTTTCGATATGGATCAAACTTACTGTTTTCACAAAAGTTCAAAGCAAAAAGAAAAAGGAGTTTTTTGGCACAGAAATCACGAAACAGGTTCTGTTACATCAATCTTTTTTCTTTCTTTTTTTTTTTTTTTTTTGTCCTTTGAACTTTTATTTCTTTATGTAGGAAATCTTAACCCTTGAAAATCACGCCTGGTAAAGAAAATGTATTTGTGCCACATGACTTGTTGTAGTGTACTTTTGGAACATTTTAACTTGATTGCTGTATAAATTTCACATGACTGTCACCACTGAGAATTCAGTTTTTCAAGCTGAAATGATTGTTCCAGTTGTATGTTCACTATAGAAAATCATACAAGAGCTGTTGAATGCTTATATAGAATATATTTCTTTGTTTTTGGATGATTTTAATGATAAAAAAATATTTATTAAAGCTGTTATTTCTGCAGATTTATTATGTAGATTACGTATATTTTTTAAATGTTATCTACAACAGTCATCTTCTAATTGTATCCAATGTTGACATATTAAAGTTTGGCATTTTATTGTTGAAAAAGAGGACAAATTTCAGGGTATATCTTAGCTTATTACTAAAAGAGGCTTGTGGCTGGGTGAGATAGAACATAATCTCAACCTGAGAGGAAAAACTATTATGTCAGCAAACAAGGCTTACATAGTGTTTGTCCACTTAATAATCTTTCCTCAATGGTTGAGATTATCCAATCCAATTATTCAATGATTTTTTTCTTTCCGTTTTAGATTTTTATACATATAATGTTGTAATCTCAATGTATTGGTGTAATGACGTTTTAGAAGTGTTGACTTATGACGTTGGTGAATTATTGTTGTTAGGTCATTCCATTGTCCTGAATGGTGAATCCCTTGTCTACCTGGAGGGTATGACAAGAACTTGGATGCATCAGTATAGAGTTGATAACTTAGCTCATAGACTCTTGACTGATGTGTTAATGTTGATAAAAAAATGTCAGGATAATTCGGACTAGGATACAACTGTCCACGGTAGGAGAAATTTATATCAAATATAGGTATACATAGAATCATATACAAGGGAAAGCAGTTTGAGAAAAATTAATTATTTAAGATTATTCCACGTTATTTACGCAAATTTCCTGGATCATTTTTATCCGTCATTTGTGATGACAGAATTTTAAAGCCTGTGATTATATAGTAAGTTGTATTGAAATAACTGGAATGTTTCAGCAGGTATAGATTTGAATATGTTTTATCAAGTGTATTTTACAAGACACTTTGTATATATAACCTTAAGCTTTGCTGATATTTGATCCTATTCAATGCATTATTTCTGAAGAGAAGACATATTTGTGAGACAATCTTGATTTATGAATAGTTTATACGACTGTGTATGTAAAATCTCCATGTTAAAGTGTATATAATGTTGCCTCCTTGCAAAAGACAATGTTGAAAATGTTCTGTTGACTAAGAAAATGCTCTGTTGACTAAGAAAATGTCCCTTTGACTAAGAAAATATCCTGTTGACTAAGAAAATGTCCCTTTGACTAAGAAAATATCCTGTTGACTAAGAAAATATCCTGTTGACTAAGAAAATATCCTGTTGACTAAGAAAATGTCCCTTTGACTAAGAAAATATCCTGTTGACTAAGAAAATATCCTGTTGACTAAGAAAATATCCTGTTGACTAAGAAAATGTCCTGTAGACTAAGAAAATGTCCTGTCGACTAAGAAAATGTCCTGTCGACTAAAATGTCCTGTAGACTAAGAAAATGTCCTGTCGACTAAGAAAATATCCTGTCGACTAAGAAAATATCCTGTTGACTAAGAAAATATCCTGTTGACTAAGAAAATATCCTGTTGACTAAGAAAATATCCTGTTGACTAAGAAAATATCCTGTTGACTAAGAAAATGTCCTGTCGACTAAGAAAATATCCTGTTGACTAAGAAAATGTCCTGTAGACTAAGAAAATATCCTGTTGACTAAGAAAATATCCTGTCGACTAAGAAAATATCCCGTCGACTAAGAAAATATCCTGTCGACTAAGAAAATCTCTTGTCGACTAAGAAAATATCCCGTTGACTAAGAAAATATCCCGTTGACTAAGAAAATGTCCTGTCGACTAAGAAAATCTCTTGTCGACTAAGAAAATATCCTGTTGACTAAGAAAATGTCCTGTTGACTAAAATGTCCTGTCGACTAAGAAAATATGCCGTTGACTAAGAAAATATCCTGTCGACTAAAATGTCCTGTCGACTAAGAAAATGAAATTAGCAAAGCTGATATGTAATTACGATTGCTATGTTTCATAGTTTTAAGATAAGTGTCTATTTTTTGTGGGTTTTTTTTTTGATAATTTTGCTAGCTGCATTGGATTATATCCTTTTTTATCTATTATAGCTAATCTGCTGTATTAAATGACAATAAAATTATGTTGGCCATTATATTGAAAATATTTCTTTTGATGGAATGATTCATTTTTCCTATCATTACTATTCATGTACAGATGTTCTTTAAATGATGTCATGGTTGAATGCCAAGCAACAATGTTGCATACAAATTTTCTTTTTTTTTCAACTTTTTTTTTTTGTTTGTTTTGTTATTTTTTTTTTTGTTTTTTGGTTAAAAAATTTGGTGACATACAAAGAAGAAGAAATGGCTAGATTGACAATTGGCACAATTGTGGTATTTGATCAGATTCAAAGTGAATTCCTTATTGTTGAATTCTCATTAAGGTGTTTATATTTCTGTGTATTGTGTAATCTTCATTTTTGTACAGTGTCCCTATTGGGAACAATCACTTACCTACAAAGTACATTATCAATTTTGTGTGCTGGATATGTGCCCTATGTATCATGAAATTTTCATGAATTTGATCTCGAATAAACAGTACTGATGTACTGAAAAAGCACAAAATTGTATCTTAGTGTGAAAGATTTGCTTGGTATTTTATCAAATTATTTTCTTGTGATTTATGATTCATGTACATTTTGGTTGTGCTTTGTATGAATGCCAGTTAGAATTATCAAAAGTAATTGATATAAATGTGTAGTTGTCACAATGCTCAGCCCCATAGTAGTTGTGTGATTTAAAAGTCAACAAGCATGTTTTCATTTCTTACAGATAGTGAATAATAATATGGCCCCCACCCCACAGGGGCCTAAGGGGCAGGGTCAAAAGGGTAAAATTGACTCAAATTTCAAAAATCTTCTTCACAACACCCAGATATGGTTGAATCAAATGGTCTTCATGGATGGAAGAATCTTAAGGTGCTTTACCAAAATTGGGAACAATTTTTTTTATTTCCATCAGAAATGTTTCAAACTTGGTTAGAATTATGAACGAAGGATGACGGCTTGAT